GTGATTTTTACTACATATTATCTGTAATTTAATATTATAGCGGAAATTTGTAGAATAACAGAAAGTGTTGAATTAAAAACTGTTAAAAATATGAATTTACATGTTAGGATGTGTTCCCTGTTTGTTCAATCAGAGAAAACAACAACGTAACAGTGAAAATCTGCCAAACAAAAAAAGGAAAATTAAAAAACAGTGAAATACTGTCTAAAAGTAATCTACAAATTATAAAATCTGTAAAATAATAATATTAATAGTAATAAATAAAATAATAATAATAATCTGTAAAATAACATTAAATTGATCAGATAAAGAAAATCGTGTAAGATAAAATAAATGGTTCAACTGAAACCTTTTAAACGTTTGTTTTTTTAAAAACAGATTTTCTCCCGTTTTGTTAAATTGCAGAAAATATCTGGTAAAATACCAGAAAACAAAAAAAAAACAAATCTGTTAAAATCTGCAATACATAAATTTAAAAATGTATATATGTATGCAGATTTATCTAAAATCTAAAAACTGTCAAAATAAGTTAATTTTTACTGATTTAATGTAATCAAAACAGTCGGTACGTAAGCTAACACATTTTATTACAATATTATCTGTATTTTAACAAAACAGTGCAAATCTGTAAAATAGTGAAACTAAATTAACCAGTGAAAGAAAATCAGGTAAAACAACAAAAGTAGTTCAACTGAAAACTGTGATAAACATGAATTCACAGACTGATGGTGGTTTGGAACAGATTTTCCTCCATTTACTCGTCCTGCTGTTATTTATTATTGTTGTTATTGTTATTCCCTCATCCAGAGCTGCTTAAAGGACACGTTTCACTGTGACCTTATAGAAACCTGAACTCTGTTGTCGAGTCATTCGGAGGCCGACGCAGACGCTGAAGCATTTCCACAATAATACAAAGTTTCAGCTGTTTCATCCTCAGCTGATCAAATGTTTAGTTCAGAGCGACTGAACAACGGATCAGGACACAAACCTGGGAAACAAACTGCTGTCTTCACATCTTTTAGTGACATTTTAATGTCGATCACTAAATGTTTTACACTCCACTGGATTCTGCATCTTTCAGTCTTTACAAATCTTTAGTTCCTGAATTCCTTTACTCCGGCGGTCGTCTGCCTGACTAGACCGATGCTCGCTGGTTGTTTATCTAACGGCTCATCTCAGCCAATCACCTTGTTTTTTAATTCATGTCTTTTAAATCCTGACATCTTTTAATTCCGCACCAATCAGGTCGAAGTTCATTCATGCCGGCGAACAGATCGAATCATCACCAAAGACGAATCAGCTTCGGGACCATCAGGATCAGAAGCTGAACACATCTGGAGTCGTGACCTTTGACCTCCCAAATGCTGGTTTTAACACCAGCAGCTGCTTCACGATGCAGAAAGTAGAGACGGAAANCAGCAGTGTTACTTGTCTAATCCCTTAGTGTTAATTTAACTCTGGCCCAGTGTTAAATTTTTAACTATTTCAAAAGTGTTAATTTAACTCTAGAGAGTGTGGAACTATATAAACCCTGAAAAAGTGTTAAAATCAACTCTGTGGGAGTTAATTCAACACTGGACTTTTTGCTGTGTACCGTCATCTGTTATGTTTGGGGTCAGGTTGGCCTCAGAAACGTAAACCTCCAGGAAAGATAATCATTAAAATCATTTCCCAAGTTTAGCTGTAAATTGTCCTTTAAATAATCTAAAAATATATAATACATATTTAAATATTATATTTCACAATCAGAGGTAGGATTTTACTTTTATAGACTTGTTTTTATTTATGTTACAGATTTTCCCTGTTTTCATTTGGTTCAAATGTAGATAATAACTGGTAAAATACAGAAAGAAGTGTTATTTGGTTTTGGTTTTGGTTTAAAAAGTTTTTTGGTTTTTTTTAAATCCAAGGACACAAGACTGTAAATAATGTCCTTCTCGAAAATCTTTTTTTTTTTTTTTGACAGCTAACATGTTAAATACTTAAATACTTTTTTCTGTGATTTTACTGAATGTTTTCTGGAATTTAACAAAGCAGGAAAAATCTGTTTAAAAAAAGCAAAACAAAACAAAACACAGTTAATGTGTAAATGTATGTTTTTAATATATTTTTGATCAACTAAATAAATTAAATAATTTTGCTGCTTTTGTTTGTTTGTTCAAATGACAGATTGTTATTACTAGTAAAATTATAGAAATTAAAATTTCAATAAAATAAATATAAATTGCTTAATTTAAATGAAACAATCTCATGTGCTGATGATCAACATCTGTATTTTTTTCAGATGTTTTTTTAAACAACATGTAAAAGTAAAACAAAACTATTTTCCTGCATTCATTAAATCATTTATTTTTTATAATTATTTTTATTTTACAGACTCCACTGTTTTTTTTTAAAATGCTGCCAGATTTTTACATTTATATTTTTTGTTTTTATTTGATTTGACAGTCTAGTTTATATTTTCAGATACTTGTTGTTGTTGTTGTTTATTGTTTTCATCTTTCTATGAACACGTGCCCTGGGATGACCCCGGCAGCCTCCTCCTTCCTCCACCGGTGGATTTTTCTGCTCGCGCTCCTGAACGTGAAGTCAAGTGACAGATTGGTGACGGATCCGTCAGAACGAATCGCATCCTGCGGGACCGACTCGTCTCCAGAACCGTCTTCTGCAGCGAACGTCCAACCGAATCTGAGTCACGTCGTTGGCGGTGAGTCAGCGGCCGAAATAGAAGCTGAATCATCTGAGCTTCTGTGAGCGATCATCAGCTCAGCTCCGTCCTCAGCCGCTCACGCGCTTCCTGCTGCTCTTATGTTCACTGAAACGTTCCTTTTACGTTCCTCCACAAACGACTGTCAGCTGTGAAACACAATCTGGATTCTTTAGAGAGATTCATAAAATAAAACAGATTTCTGTGTAAATTACAAGTAAAATCACTTCATATGATCTGAAATGAACAGTTTTAATTGTAAATAAAATCACAACAGTGGTTTGTCACAAGTAAATCCATTAAGTTTCACAAAAATAGAAAATGATAATAATCTGACTGCAAAGACACAAAATAAAATAATAATAAAAAAAAAACAAATACCCCCAAAATGATTTAATTGCATTAAAACTGTTGAATTTTACTTTCACATGTTGTAAATAAAGTAAAGTACATTATTTAAAAAGTGCTGATTTTTTATATGGACATTTTATTAATTTTGGTCATTTTTAATTTAATTTAATTTTTTTTAACAGTAAACCTGTAAATTCAGACGTTTCATTT